GGGGCGGGGGCGGGCCCCGCCCCCCCCCCGGCCCCCGCCGCTCCGCCCGCGGGCCCCGCGCTGCTGCGGGCTCTGGCCGCGCTGTACGGGGCGGCGGCGGCGCGGCGGGGGCTGGACCTGCGGGTCCTGCTCGGGCCCGGCCGCCGCCTGGCACGGCAGCCCCGCGTCCTCCTGGCGGCCGCTGCCGAGGCGCCGGGGCCGCCGGAGCCGGTGCAGCTCGGGCTGCAGCGCTTGGCCGCGGCTGTGTACGGCTGCCCGCCGAGCCTGCCCGCGCTGCTGCTGGGCGAGGACACCGCGGGGGACTTCGGGGGCGACCCCGAGGGGGACCCCGAGCAGGATCTTAACGCGACGTTCCCCGAATTCTTGGACGTGGCGGTTGGCGGCACCTTCGACCGGCTGCACGGCGCCCACCGGCTCCTGCTCAGCGCCTGCTGCCTCCTGGCCCGGCGGCGGCTCCTGGCCGGGGTGGCCGACGGAGACCTGCTCCGCCGTGAGTCCGGGGCGGCCGTGGCACTGCGCGGGGACCAGGGGTGAGCCCGGTGCTCCCCGGGGCAGGGCAGTGGTCTAAGAGCCCAGTGATAAGTGAAGTCCTGGCAGTCACCCACCCAAGGTGGTGCCAGCCAGGCACAGCGTCAGTGGGGACCCAGTGGGGACCTGGTGTCCTGCCCACAACCAGCAAGGTGTACGGGGACAGCCGGGGTGAGGGGAGGGGGAGGCAGCGTTCAAAGTCCCAGCCGGTTGTTTTCTCCCATCTCTTGGTCTTGGTCATTTCTGTCACCCTTGTGCTTCTCCGCCCTCCTGGCACCCGGCAGACAAAGTCCTGCCGGAGCTGATCGAGCCGTACGAGCTGCGGGCGGCGAAGCTGCGCGAGTTCTTGGAGGACGTGAAGCCCTCACTGTGCTACGACATCGTGCCTCTGGCCGACCCCTTTGGCCCCTCAGTCACAGACCCCGACCTGCAGTGCCTGGTGGTCAGCGAGGAGACCCGCCGGGGAGGGGAGGCTGTCAACAGGAAGAGACTTGAAAATGTAATTCCCACACTGGAGCCCGGTGGGCTACCCCTGCCTACCCTCTCACCCTGCCTGGTGATTTACCCTGGGGGCAAATCTGGTCTCGATTCACCCCTTCCCTCTGCTGCATCCTCATGGCTAAGGGCCCTCAGGGCTCCCTTCTCTCATCAGGGGCTCACTGAGCTGGCTCTTCATGAAATCCAGTTGATGAAGGACCCTGACCACAGTCAGAACGAGGAGGAGAAGATCAGCTCCTCCAGCCTCCGGCAGAGGCTGCTGGGGACGCTGCTGCAGCCCCCACGGGTGAGGGGGCCTGCAGAGCCACAGCTGCAATGGGAGTGCTCGGGAGGAGGGGTGGGAGTCTCAGGAGCTGAAGAGTTTGGAAAGGCTGCCTGCTTCTCTGCAGGCCAGGGCCTTTCATGGCCATCTCCAGGCCTGGGTGTCAGGATCCTTCCATAGCAAAGCCCAGTCTGCTGCCATGGCTTTCCTCTTTCCCTTAGCAAGACCCAGCTCTGCCGTTGCGCCCGTACGTGATTGGCCTGACTGGGGGAACTGGGAGTGGGAAAACCTCCATCGCCAGACTCCTGGGGCACCTGGGCGCGTTCGTCATCGACGCTGACAAGCTGGGCCACGCCGTCTATGTCCCCGGTGGCCCGGCCTACGAGGCAGTGGTGGCGGCCTTTGGGGCAGGTAGAGTCACTGGAGGCTGCAGGGAGGAGGAAGGGCAGGGAGGGGTGTCCCAGGAACCCAGAGAGCCCCGGCCTGTGCCCCTCTCCCACCCCATGAGTTTTGGGCTCCCCAAGTGTTGTGTGTCCCATGTCAGAGCTGCTGCTGGGGAATGATGAACCAAGGCTGCTGTCTGCCTGGAAAAAGCTTTTCCCTGTCCTTTTCAGGAATCGGGTGAAGAGCTGCCATGTTAGGTGTTACAGCCCTTTTCTGCATGCTGTTGAGAGCTTTATACCAAAGCCCTTTCCACAGCCCAGGCTTGCCACAGGGATGGGAGTTGTCCTTCCCAAACCTGTCTTGCTTCTGCCTTGCAGAGATCCTGAACAAAGATGGAACGATTAACAGGAAAGTCCTTGGAGCCAAAGTGTTTGGAAACCAGGTAAAAGCAGATTTATTGTAAATACTTAATGCTGTGAGTGGGGGCCGTTCTCCTCTTGTGCCAACGGTTCTTAGTTTTAAGCCCTTTGAGATGATGACACCTTCCTGGCTGTATTTCTTGGCAGTGGCATGGGGACAGAGTGGGACAGATCACATCTCTGCAGCTGATGTCTGATTCTGAATCAGCAGCTGTGCTGGATACACTGTTCTTGCCCTGCAGCTGCTGCTGCCTCCCTGTTCCCATCCCTGTTCCTGCTGCCATTCCCATCTCCTCTATACCATGCTTTTCCTTCACCCAGCTCAGAGAAACAGCCCTGGCACACACAGCCAGTGGTCTCTGTCCCTTGGGGGCTCAGTGGCCTTTACAGATGCTCAGCCTGTTGCTCTGCTGCTGCCCCAGGTCAAGGTGGAGGCAGGTCAAGAGGTTCCCTGGATGGACTCTTGTGGGACCTGCTGCACAGGGAGACTGCTGTGCTGTGGAGCAAAGCACCCCTCACAGCAGAGACTGAGATCTCTGCTAATAGCAGAGCCCTAATGGCAGGACAAGAAAAATAACAGGGAAAAGCACCCTGACCCTGGCAGCAGGAATGGGAGCTCTGGGCAGTGTGAAAGCTTTCCTTCCTGGTGCTTGGAGATGGGCTGGACCCACCTCCCCAGCTTCAGTCCTTCCTGAGTGTCCCCTGACTGCTTACACCCTCCCTCTTCTGGCTGGCTACACAGGGGTTCTGAGAGCAAGGGACTGAATCTCAAATCCCACTGTGGTCCTTTCCAGGAGCGGCTGAAGAGCCTGACAGACATTGTGTGGCCCGAAATAGCCCAGATGGCGAAGGAGAGAGTCAGAGAGGCTGATGCTCAAGGTAACAGGCTCTGTGGCAGCCTCAGCTCAGCAGTGAAGTGCCTGCACTGCAGGAAGGTGGGACTGAGCCCAGGCTGGTGCCATCCACGGCCAGGCACTGAGGAACGCCCTTGTTCCGTAGGGAAGGCCGTGTGTGTGCTGGACGCTGCTGTGCTGCTGGAGGCCGGCTGGCAGGACATGGTCCACGAGGTGTGGACAGCCATCATCCCGGAGGAGGAGGTGGGCCCTGCCCTGGACCCCTCCCTTGCTGCTGGGGCTGATCCTCAGCCTCCTCCCGAGCACACGAGTGTCCCCTGTGTCCCTGCCAGGCCGTGAGGCGCATTGTGGCCAGGGATGGGCTGACCGAGGAGGCTGCTCGCCGCCGGCTGCAGAGCCAGATGAGCAACAGGCAACGGGTAGAGCAGTCACAGGTGGTGCTCTGCACCCTCTGGGAGCCGGACATCACCCGCCAGCAGGTGAGCCTGGGGCTGCTGCAGCACCGGGGCCGTTCTGGGTGATTGTGGCAGGAACTGAAGGGCTCAGTGCTGTGCTCAGGCCGTGCCTGGTGTGCCTGCGTGCGCTGCCACGAGGGGTGGATCTGGGGGTGTAGATTCAGCCGGGAAGGAAGAGGTGTGGGACTGGTGTGACGCTCCTGCCACCTCAGCCGTGGGCTCTGAGGTGTCACCGCGGATCTGTGGCAGGTGCACAAGGCCTGGGACCTGCTGCAGCAGCGCCTGAGCCCGGAGCCCGACCCGTGAGGGACCGGCCCGACAGCGCCGTGAAGGTCCTGCCACCACTGACCACCATGAGCCAGCGGACGGAGCAGCGTGGCACCGAGACCACCGGGCCCGTTCAGCTTCGGCGAGGGTCCGGGGCGTCCTGCGGTCCCCCGGTGAGGGGGACCTGAGGCTGAGCCCCGCTGGGTGACAGTAAAGAGGCTGCTCCTGCAGTGCGTGTCCGTTCGCCGGTGCCGTCCCCTCGCCCGCCCCGCAGGGCCCCCGGTGTCCTTCCCCGGGGCTCGGTGCGGGACTCCCGGTGCCCGGAGGGTACCCGCGGTACCGGGGGCGCGCGGCCATGACGTCACGCGCGGGGACGCTCCGGGCGTGCGCGCGGGCGCCCCCTGGCGGCGGTCACATGACCGGGCGGGCGGAAGATGGCGGAGCCGCCGGGCGCCGCGGCCGAGGACTCGTGGGGGAAGGTGGGGCCGGGATCGGGTCGGGCCGGGCCGCCGGGTGCCGCGGGGGCGCAGGGCGGCTCGCCGGGACGCGGCTCATGGCGTCCGGGCAGGGTGAGCGCCGGGCTGGGGGTACGGGGGCGGGGAGCGCACACGGGTCAGTGCCTGGGCGAGGGGCGGTGGGTGAAGGCTCCGGCGGAGCCGCAGCTCGGGGCTGGCGGGTGCTCCTCGGGCCGACCGAGCTCCTGGGGGCGGGGGGGCTCCGGGGCGCGGGCCGCGGTCGCCGCCCAAGCCCCACTGACGTGTCTCCTCCGCCCGCCGGCCCCGCGCAGGTGGACGCGGCCTA